AGCGTTGGTTTAATGTAAAATTTAATCTTAAACGCTTCGTGAAATGTTTTGAAATGTTTATTCAACTTTTGCTGATAAACTCTTTTTTCTTGCGTCTCGAATAATTGAATTTACTATTAGTTCGGTCTTCAAATTAATTTACTCCCCATTACATTTCAAGTTTTGTTGCCTTAATTAAACAGGGTAATTGATTTAGAAAACGTACAGCTTTATTCAAAAGGAAAGCAGTGCACGTAGTCCAGAACCTGTATATGAGTTTGTATGCATTTCATTTAGGACAGATAATCTCAACTGTTTTAGGGCAAGTTGACCATGACGGTTAACATGGTAATGCTGCCCGAACCCCAATCCGGGGCCAAACGTCCTAAACTGACCACACCCAAAAACGACGCCTTCGCCATACTGCTATCTACCAAACCATAAAAGCTTTGGCTATTCTGAGGTGCTTATATGGTTCAGAGATGGTAATTTTGGGGGTGGCCATTGGTAAGTGTGAAATGCCTAGCACTGATATTTCACAAGAAAATGACCATGCAATACTCGTAGTCAAACGTCAATTTGTGGCTAGTGGCTTGCAACTTCAGATAAACAGCAGTGGACTTACATTACCTTTTTCCCTAAATCTTTTTGACAGAAACATAATTGGTTCTTATTTAAATATATTATCACTGGTTTGGTGTAAAATAGTTAATATTTTCTGACCGAAATAATAATTTGAAATGTGCCTACCTCCTGCAAATGGACGTATTTGGCCAAGTTCTCCATCTTACTCCGCTGCTTATCGGCGATCTCGTCCACATCCTTCCAAAAATGTATATCATCTCACACATAATGGTATCAAGAACATTTTAAACAAGTTTCAACTTGGTTTCATGTAGATCGTAGCTGTTTAACCATCGACAAGGTAAATCCACAAATTTGTCCAAATTCGGCGCGATTTTGTCATCCCCTGTCGGTTGTCAACAATTCGGCCTTGTTACTCCTCCATCCAAGCCATTTCCATTCCATTAATAATAAATTTAACCCTTTATAACGGTAGGAAACTAAAAAATCTAAACAAAATATAAGAAATGCGCCATTTTATCACCCTACAAAATGTTGCTCACGAGTCTTTCAAAACATTCAGTACAAATCTCGCGTGACAAAGTAACAGGGACGTGACAGGGGGTGAATTATTTCACGAAGATAGAAGAAGGCAGCGTAGAATAGACTAAAAGCTAAATACAATCATACAAACGTTTGTTCTATTTCTTGTAGCGACAAATATATACATATTGTTATTTATTAATATGAACAAGTCATACAAATTAAATGTTGATTGTTGGTTTTACTGTCATACTGTGTGGGCTTTGCTTTCATTTTTCAAGTCTCCACCCCCTGCTACGTCCCTGTTACGAAACCACGCGAGATTTGTACGAAATGTTTTGAAGGACTCGTGAGCAACATTTTACAGGGTGACAAAATGCCGCATTTCTTATATTTTGTTTAGATTTTTTAGTTTCCTACCGTATAAAGGGTTAAATTTATTATTACTGGAATGGAAATGGCTTGGATGGAAGAGTAAGAAGGCCGAATTGTTGACAACCGACACGGGATGACAAAATGGCGCCGAATTTGGACAAATTTGTGGATTTACCTTGTCGATGGTTAAACAGCTATGATCTACTTGAAACCAAGTTGAAACTTGTTTAAAATGTTCTTGATACCATTATGTGTGAGATGATATACATTTTTGGAAGGATGTGGACGAGATCGCCGATAAACAGCGGAGTAAAGTGGGAAACTTGGCCAAATACGTCCATTTGCAGGAGGTAGGCACATTTCAAATTATTATTTCGGTCAGAAAATATTAACTATTTTACACCAAACCAGTGATAATATATTTAATTACATTACACACTTACCAATGACCACCCCCAAAATTACCATCTTTGAACCATATAAGCACCTCAGAATAGCCAAAGCTTTTATGGTTTGGTAGATAGCAGTATGGCGAAAGTGTCGTTTTTGGGTGTGGTCAGTTTCCGACGTTTCATTCCGGATTGGGATTCGGGCAGCGTTACCATGTTGACCGTCATGGTCAACTTGCCCTAAAACAGTTGAGATTATCTGTCCTAAATGAAATGCATACAAGCTCATATACAGGTCCTAGACTAACGTTTTATGCAAAAATTGAAAATTCCTAAACATTACACATTCAAGCAGAGTTAATCAATTCTCCTCATTTCTTCTAACAAAAATGTCTTCAAAGCTCGTTCCATGTGAAACGAGTTTCAAAATGTATGTCTTCGAAAATTGAAATCTTCCTTATCCCACTCCTGGCAAGTAGCCCTATTTTTGAGATCAGTGAGGATATCCACACACACCATCATTAACCATGACACCACTTTAGACTTCGCTAATGCTTTCCTTTTCAATCCTTTCCTTTCCTTTCCTCGAGTGCAAATACTCAGGCGGAATTAGAACCCTACCACCGGACGGCCTCCCGGAACGGCGCCGTTGGCTCGTGGATAATAATCAGTAAAAAGTAGCGTTGGTAGGTGCTAAATCTAAACTTCATTGTTTTAACACAGTGAGAGGACGAGTCTAAACATGCATGACTGTCAAAAATGCATGCAAAAGCGCCAGTGTTCTTCAACTTCTTCAATTTTCATCCTGTTTCTAATAAATTTCCCATGAACATAGAACATATCAATCTTACTAACCGTATGTTTTTTTTGGAATTACTACTTTTTGGCGGGTAAATTACGTCACAAACTTGGCGCCAAACACTAAAAAAATAAGCTATAGGTGATTTCATGCATCAACTGTTTAGAATAGCAAACTAAGGGTGTCTTAAACCTGAAATTGGTTTCGAAATACAACCATTCCTTGAGAAGGTAAAATGACTTCATTTTCTAAAAATCCGCCATTTTGTTCCGTTGATTTTTCGACATTTGTATCGCTGTATCTTCCCATAAAATGATCGTATTTAGAAACAGATTTCATTTCTAAAGTATCCTTAGTCTGCTCTCCTAAATAGTTTTATGAAATCACCAATAGCTTATTTTTAACTTTTTGGCGCCAAGTTTGCAAGGGTGGGTAGTAGCGAAGTAGTTGTAGTTCGCTACTGTAGCGAACTACAATTTTCAAGTAGCCAGTAGTTTTTGACTACTTTATTAAAACAGTAGCTGTAGTTATAGCGAACTACATTTTGCCGAAAAGTAGCCAAGTAGTTGACTATTTTCAGACAGCAAATCGCTATTCGCTACTTTTTAAAATTGTTAGCAACTTGAAAGAATAGCATGATATTGAAACACGGTTTGCTTAAAATCAATACTCAATAGTGAATTTGCACTCTTGATCACTATAGTGCTTACAAAACTGTTGCTACTCGTAAGTCGATTTGTTATAGGTTACATTTCAGCCTGAGTTAGTAGATGCTCCAAATACAGTAAAACTAAAAAATATAGCGCAGCGAAATAGCGAAATAATTCGCTACATTTTTTAAGCAGTAACTGTAGTCAGTTGCGAATTACCTTTGTTCAAAAGTAGCAGTATAGTTGTAGCCGACTACATATTTTTGAAGTAGCTGTAGTTATAGCGAACTACAGAAATTTTGTAGTCAACCCACCCTTGCAAGTTTGTGACGTAATTTACCCGGCAAAAAGTAGCAATTCCAAAAATAAAAAACATAGGATTTGTAAGAATGATATGTTTCAGTATATTCATGGTAAATTTAGTAGAAACAGGATAAGAATTAAAGAAGTTGAAGCATATTGGCGCTTTTGCATGTATTTTTGACAGGCACACGTGAAAATTTCCATGCCGGGATTTTAATTATTCATTTGTTTTTTACGCCATCACAAACTGAATCATATAAAGCCGTTGGCGTCCTGTCTGGAAAACTTTCCTAAATGGATGTTCATGTGGCCCAGTTGACCGGGAAGATTCGTTTATAAAGGTCTTATCACGAGGTTTATAAACATCCAAATGACATTTCAAAGTTGAATTAATTAGCTTAGTTTGATTCCAGTAACAGTGTGTGCATGTTCATTGAAACGACCTTTTACGGTCAGGCAAAAACATTCGTGCTACGATACATCTCGGTTAGCCGGGCTGGCTCGGCTAATATGAACAACCCTTAATTTAATCAAGTCAGTCATGTCCCCATAATTATGGCGTAATGGTCGTAAAAATAGGGTCACGATCTTTCTCAACGGCAAGTTTATAAATGTTTATGCCAGTAAACCACACACGAATCATAGGTATTCTCCAGTTAAAATCACTCCGAGGATAATTTCATTTTCTAAAATGTTGTATTGGCGCTGATGAGAAAGATCGTGACTCAATCATTACGCCATTACGACCATATGGAAACCAGGCTATACTATTAAAACAGCAGACTGAGCTATAAATGGAATACAATCCCCCTATAACTTTTGTCAGTAAATTGAATAAGAGATCAGTCACTGTATTCAAAGAGGTTGGATAATCTTTTACAAAGTGCTACCAAAGTCAAGAACAATATGAACCACTTCACTTTTACGATTCGGTTAGCTTAACACATACAGGTTAATGTACTTAACTGCACAATATCACCACTGCCAAAACCGAAAAGTTAAGTATATAATCTCTTTTCTTGCAAGTCTTTCGACTATAAAAACAAACAGAATACGCAAATTGGTAATATAATATCGATGAACAGATTTGCAATTAAAAATTCTACCTAAGTATTTAGTGGATATACGGTGTAAAATACTTAGATTAAACTCTCAAAGGACTCCTTTCTCCAAGGTTCAAGGCTCAACTCATGCGTGGTTCAGACTCATTAAAATATAAATAACACAAACTTTATTACAAAACGCTGCCATATGAAAACTCTACGCTCGTCTCATTAGTATTCCATGTGTTCACAAAATAAACGTCATAGAATATTACGCAATCTCTGACACTCCCCCCGTTGACCAGTGCATGCAGCTACTGGTCAACAAACAGTGAAACAACTAAACTACAATTACGTAGTCTACAAATTTGAATTATCAACGTTGTCAATGCAAGTAGTCTTTCTACTATCGCAATATCTCTACACTAGCTACTTAGCTGTCATTCAGTTCCTCAATCCATTTCCTTCGCCGTTCTTCTCCCCGCTTCGCCGCTTCACGTCTTGGTCTCTTTACTTCGACTTGGTTCATTTCATTTCCGATCGCTTCGTCAAGTTCGTTCTTTCCGTACCGATTTTCTTCAGCTTCCGAGTCGGACCTTACCTCTAGTGGGTAAAGTAACCGTACCGATCTTTTCAAAGTCGTCGGCCGTTTCCCCTTTGGACTGATTCTAACGATCGCTCCCCGCACGTTTCCGTCCTCTCCGTTGATCAACCTTTCGACTTTGCCCAATCTCCAACATGCTCGAGGTTGCGACTCGTCGTGAACCACAACTATATCCCCCGCACGGATAGTTCCCTTTCCGTTGTCGTTCTTACCGCGGTGTGAATTGCGCAGTTCCATTAAATATTCGTCACGCCAACGGGTCCAGAAATGATTCATTAGTGTGCTCAAGTGCTTCATTCTTCGACTTAAGTCCTTATCGTTTAACGAGAATTCGGGATCTAATATGTCATTGCCAATGTCCTGCTCTGGCATACTCAGTAATCTTCGTCCCGTTAACAAATGTGACGGAGTGAGTGGTTCTTGTAGATCTTCGGTAGAAACATATGATATTTGACGGGAATTCAATATCATCTCCACTTCAGCGACCACCGTCAGGAGCTCTTCGTAAGTTAATTGAGCTCCTCCAACAGTCTTCTTTAAACACCTCTTGGTGGATTTGACAAGTCTTTCAAAAATTCCACCCCACCAGGGTGCCTTGGGTAAATTGAACGACCAGGTAATGTTCATGCCGACGAAGAATCGCCTTATCTCTGGATCTCTCAACATCGTTTTGATCTCCCGCGATGCCGCCTTAAACGTCCCGGCGTTGTCCGACACAATCGTTGACGGAACACCGCGTCTCGCGGTAAATCTCCGAAAACTTCGAATAAATCCTTCTTTTGTCAGGGTTGGTACAATGTCCAAATGCACTGCTCTCGTTACACAACATGTGTAAAGGCATACCCACACCTTTTCGCTCTTCTCGTGTGTTCGAACATAGAGCGGACCAAGGAAATCAATTCCTGTTGCCGTGAAAGGTGGTGTTTCTCGTACTCGAAATTCGGGTAGGGGAGGTGGTGGTGGAGCTTGATAGGGTTTGCCTTCGAATCTCCGACAAATAGAACACCTCCCGATCAACTTTCGCACAAACTGTCTCCCACGGACGATCCAGTACTGCGATCTTATATCAGTCAACGTCTCTTTGACTCCATTATGCATCACTCTTCTGTGGCTGTCGTAAACGATCAATGATGCGAAATAATGCTCTTTGTCAACTAGAATTGGATGCTTTGCTGACTGGGGTAGGTTCGCCTTTTCCAGTCTACCTTTGCACCTCCAGATGTCTTGCTCGTCAGTGTAAAGCCCAAACTCTGCCTTCCACTGTTCAAACTGGTTCTTCTCGGGCAATTTTCTTTGCATTTCTTTGATCCACAATTCTCTACTTTCACGAATCTCATTCACTGTTAAACTGGGCTCTACGTCTATGTCACTCTTTCTGGTTTTCGCCTTCAATATCTTCACAAAACGTAAGACATAAGCCGTCACTCGCACCAGTCTGTCGAGGGTTCCAAAGTTCTCGATATTAATGATATTGCTAAGGGTTTGGGGTGTGGTGTTCACAATTAGGTTAACAGTTCTCGACTTGGTGGATCGAACTTCAACGAGACATTCCTTCGGAGGCGTAATTTCCTTCTCATCTTGACAAGAGTGTGTTTCAACATCGGTTAGCCACTCAGGGCCACAGCTCCACAGCTCATTGCTTGTAAGCTCCGTCGGTTTTATTCCTCTGGATGGAATATCAGCAGGATTATCTCGACCGGGACAATGACGCCAGGTGGCTGTGGGTAAGAGGCTCCGGATTTCACTCACTCTATTTTCAACGAATTGTTTCCACTCCTTATTGCCATTTGTGATCCAGAAAAGTGCCACTTTCAAATCGCTCCAACAGACTGGATCATCCAACTTAATTTCATCTCGTAATGCCGTTTGAACATTCTTCACTAACCTTGCAAGGATCAAACACGATAGAAGTTCTAGTCTCGGAATTGTTTGTCTCTCGAATGGTGCGACTCGTGTTTTCGCTGCTAAGAACTTTACTCTGATGCCAATTGTGGTAATCATGACCAGGTAGGTTACTGCGGCGTACGCCGCCTTCGAGGCATCACCAAATCCATGGACAATGCAGGAGATAACTGGGTCGTCGACCTCTCGAAAATAGCATCGAGAAAGCCGAATGCGATTCATTTGTTTTAGTTCATTAACTAGATTGTCCCATTTTACTTTAAGATCATGGGGTACTTCATCGTCCCAATTCAACTTTTCTCCGCACAGTTATTGGAATAACATCTTGAATTGAACTGTTATTGGCGACATGAAGCCAATCGGATCATAGAACTTTGCAGAAAGACGGACGATATTTCGCTTTGTTGGGGAACACTCGGATGCCAATTCGGTCACATGACTAAGATCAAACACAAGATCATCTTCAACAAAATTCCACGCTACCCCGAGAACCTTGTGCTCTTCATTAGAGGATTCATTGGATGTTCCTAGCGTAATCTTCGAGTACGTTTCATCTTCATTTACGCAATCGTTTGGCGGTTCGTCCACTTGAGGGTTAGGCTCCAAATTAGTTCTAGGAAGAGGGTTCTCTTCACTTTTGATCTTCGTCAACAGTTCGGGCGAGTTGGTAACAAACTTCCGAAGGTTAAATCCACCTTCTGCCAATCTAAGCTTTGATTTCTTGTAAAGAGTGTAGGCAGATTTGTCATCATCCCCACCCGAGTTTAGATCATCTACATAAACAGCTCGCATGAAGGCTTCGACAAAGGCAGGATCTTGAGCGCGGTACTGTTCGATATGGTGACTGATAGTCGCATTCAGTAAGAACGGGCTGGATGATACTCCGAATACTACACGCGTAAATCTCAAGACAATAATCTTAGGTTGGTCACTCCAAACATCATCGAACCAAAGAAACCGTAGATCATTACGATCAGCTTCTGAAACTGCTATCATCAAAAAAGCCTTCTCTATATCACCCGCTAGTGCTACTTTGTGGCTTCGAAAACGAAGAATAATGTCCATGATGTTATGGGTCATTGCAGACCCAGTATAGAGGCATTCATTCAAGGACGGACCAGATGTTTTGGCGGATGCATCATACACAATTCTTAGCTTGGTTGTCTCTTTATCTCGCCTGATCACAGCGTGATGAGGAATATAGTGAACTTTTCCGAGCTCTCCAATATCTTCTTTCTCAACAATCTCGACAACGCCCTTGGTAAGTTGATCCTTTATTACTGCATCATACTCCTTTAAGACTTCGGGATCACGTTTCAAGCGCTCGAGTAGACTCCACAGTCGTTTACGACTCATTTCATAGTTGTCAGGCAGTAAAGGATGGTGCTCTTTCCATGGCAACTCAACGTGATATCTTCCCGCCTTGAAACCTATGGTACTTGTGAATTCTTCAACAACCGACTTCTCTTCCTTTGATATACCGAGTGACTCCAAATCCCAGAATTGTCTCAGTTGTTGGTCATCTTCGTGGTGCATTGGTTGGGATGGTGGGGTTTCAAGCTGCAAAACATGAGTGGATGACATGTTTACAGATGCTTCCAATCTCTGTTGTGAATGGTTCTCGACTGGTCCGGACAGGACCCATCCAAGGTTGGTGTTGATAGCTGTCGGACCATTTGTTCCCTTTCGAATCTCTCCTGTCACTATGTCCCAATACTGATCACAACCGATAAGTATGTCCACTTCCGAGTCAAGTTCTCCCATTGAATCATCAGCTAATACTAGGTCATGTAAGTGAGGGTAATTGTGGCGGGATTGTGAGACAAGTTGGTATCGCAGTGGTTCACATATGGTGGGTACAACAAAGGCTGACAAGGACAACTGTACCTTATCAGTGTGACTTTCTAGAATAAAATTGACTGAATCACAGGTGGTTAGATTTTCTTCTCCAGAACCGAAGGTTTTTATTGACATTGTTTCAGTTCGCTCAGTGGGTAGGCTTAGTAAATCTTGTGTCCGACTGGTGATGTAGGACCTCTGGCTTCCGCCATCTAGGATAACTCTCACGTTCCCACTCTTACCATTTCTACTCACAGGAAGGATTGTTGCCTTTGCAGTTTGAAGAAGTATTGGGGTCTTGGTACTTGTAAACAATGATTTTGTGCCACTATTCCCTGATTGATTTGATCTACTGGGTTTGTTGCTTGAGATTTTGCCCTCAGAGGTTTGTTCATGCTGTTGTTGCTTAAGCTCTGTATCGGATGGGGTCTTCTGGGCATGGTTATGACTGCTATTCTTGGTGCATATACTTATGTGGTGTTTACCATTGCATTTATGACATCTTGACTTAGAGTTGCAATCACGACTTAAATGATTTTTTCTCAAGCAGAGAAAACACCGTCCACTTCGCTTTATAATGTCAATTCGTGCTGTGATGTTAGAGACATTGGTGCAACTATTTGAGGTATGTGACTGCTGACAGTAGGTGCATGTCGGTGATGTACCCCCTGTCTGCAAGGTTGAAATTGAGGGTTGTGGTTTGGAAAATTTCTTTGTTTGGTAATGGGGCCAAGTCTCCCTGTTGGTATTTGCAGTTGCTCTTTCTCGGGCCTCTAGCTCCTTCTCAATCAACTCAAGCAAGTGTCCCAATTCCCAAACATCTCCTTGTACTTCTCGACTCACTATTATGCACAATTCCTGAGGTGACTTATTGAGTAACATTGAGCATAATAGAGTGCCATATGTTTCTGCCTGTACCCCAAGTGATTTCAAAGCTCTGATATGAGATTCTACAGTGTCATAAAGTGTTCTCAGTCCCTTTAAGTTATGTGGAGAAGTAACTGGCTCTAGATTTAACAGAATATCCATGTGTTTATTGATTGCAAGCTGTTTGTTACCAAACCGCTTCTTCAATATTTTGATGGCTTCTTCATAATTTAGAGTGGTTAAGGTTAATCCTGCAATTGCATCTGCTGCTGTTCCTTCCACAAGTGACGAGAGGTAATTAAATTTATCAATACTTGATACTGTGGGATTGTTGTGAATTGACGACTCAAAAGTATCCCAGAATGTCGCCCAAGATGTGGGATCTCCCCGAAATGCCCTAAGAGTTAACTTTGGCAACTTTACTGTGGGTATTTTGGTGTAATTATTCATGAAATTTGAAGGGTCAGCTTGTATACTGTTGTCACCATGGTTACTGGCAGTTTCTGAATTATTCCCTGTTATGGATGTAGTGGGTTGCGTAGGGGTAACTGGAGTTATGACATTGTTTTCAGTATACAATTGTGTAGTACTTGATTTCTCATATTCATCTAAAGCCATTTGTACTTCAATAATAACAGACTCGATTTTCTCTCGTGAAATATCCCCTTGCTCAATCTCTAACTCTATGTCCTCTACACTTACCAGCGCCAAAATAGCTTCATCTTGCTCTCGGAGTGATTTCAACTTCGCTTCGAGTGTTGACTTTTGTTGTTTTAACTTCGCAATATGCGGAGTTAACTGCGATTTCTCCGCCACACTCATAAGAGTTTCGCCTATAGACGCCATAATTCGTTTTGCTGAGGTTCTATGTCCGTTTCGACATCTTTTCTTTCGAGTCAACTCTTCTTTTTCGGCCATTGTTCAGGATTTATGTATCAGAATCTTTTCAATATGGCGGCTCAAATTCAGATGTATAAACTCACGTATTATTTTGTAATATCCGGCTCGGAAGGACCATGTAAAATACTTAGATTAAACTCTCAAAGGAATCCTTTCTCCAAGGTTCAAGGCTCAACTCATGCGTGGTTCAGACTCATTAAAATATAAATAACACAAACTTTATTACAAAACGCTGCCATATGAAAACTCTACGCTCGTCTCATTAGTATTCCATGTGTTCACAAAATAAACGTCATAGAATATTACGCAATCTCTGACATACGGCTTTATAAGATATGCTCTTGAATGAGTTCAAAATGTAAAAAAATGCATGTACAATATTCGATACTAATATAGGGAACTTAGTTTCCAACCTTTTTCCGTAGTTCAGTGAATTACGTATTACATGCATAAGCAAAGAAAATCTGTGATATTAAATCTGTGATGTTTCATTAATGCAACGTGAAAAGATCAAGCGTGTTCAATTTGCAAGGTACAAGCAAAAACGGAAGGTCTATTACAGGTTCTTCCCCTTTCACTGGTATATGACATATAATATAAAACACAAGTGGTTTAGTTACATGTCACATGCGTGTTAAGCAACAAAGTTTGTTCACATGTTGTTGTTAGTTCGTTATTGTTGAACACAATGCTTAAACAGGGATGCCGCCACAATCGTCGCAGATATTAACAAAGTCAAGGACACCGACATGAAACATGTTTGTAAAAAAAATCACGACATGTTCTTAAAGATTTAATGGGAAGACAAACACCCATCACCGGTGGCGTAGCCAGCCTGACGATTTGGGTCGACCAAGAGAGGATTATGAACGTTTTATATTGAGCGACAGACCAAAATGTATTCCAATGAAGCCGGCCGGAGAAACATGCAAAGTAATCCCCAGAAGACAGAATGACAAGAATATGAGAACTCTTTAAAGATAACAAAAACACCTAAACGTTACTATACGCTCTTAGAAGTAGACCGTACTAAATTTTGTAAAACGTTTTGAAGAAATAAATGTGTTTTAAATTTAAATTCTTGTGTAAATTTTTGCCCGCAAAGCCACGCTCCCGATTTTAAGGTCGACGCCCGCGTAATAAATCTATTAATACCAACTGTTCGCCTGAACATGCCCACGGCCGCCAGTAATAATATCCATTTATATCCATTAAGATCCTATTGATTAATGCAAATCGTATTGCCTTAATCCCCTTAATTACCCCAACCTTTGTCTACTTATCGGTTAATGATATAGCAATACATAACACAGTATCTTGTGAGAATATATTTATTATTTTAAGCCAAAAAAATATTACAACTAAGACTGTTTGTTAAATTGTTTTACAAGTTTTTTCTCCAAGAATTCTTGATAAGCAATTTTATGATCTGCCTCAAAACTTCTAAATCGTTCACCCGTCGCCTTCACAGAATACATGTAATTCGGTGAGCAAGAGAAAAACGCTTCAGCTGCTGACTCGAGCGGAACTTCTAATCTCCAATGAAATCGGCGGCGCACAAATAGTTCAGTATACATTGCAGTTCGTGGTTCTCAGTGTTCTGATGTAGTTCCATCAGTGAATCGACAAACGTAGAATCTGGATCTTTTTCCAGTTGCTGTAAATGTTCGAGTACATCTCTGTCAACCTCATTGCCTCAGCGAATTCATTCCAAACTATACGCTTACCATTCACTCGTTCGATCGCTTGTAAACCATACGTTTGCCATCGTTCGTTTTCGTTCATCACGAGGCAGTCATTTTGCCTTTGACTAGGATGACCAACTTGGCAACCATTACAGGATTCCACACAAAGTCTTTCAACTTCTTTTGCGACTGCATTCGCATATATTCCTTCCAAGACAAGTAAATAGGCATAGGTATATCTTTGCTTTGGCTTTGCCTCGTCCTTGCTTCGTTAGAAATGGGCCTCCATAATCCACTCCGACTCTTTCGAAAGCTCGTAACGATTGAAGTCGCGGTTTGGGCAGCGGTGCCATCTTCTACTCTGCTGTTTTTACAGAAAAACGTCGTCGACATTGCGCACATGACTTAACGATATTCCTTACCGCGCGTCTTCCTTTTACGATCCAAAAACAACTTCGTAGCAGTGTTAGAACCTGCTCAACTTCGGAACCATGTCCGAGTTCTTCATGTGCATCCTTGATGATGAGTCGGGTCACCACGTGTTCCTTTGGCAATAAAATGGGGTGTCTTGTGTTGTAGGATAGTTCATTCGCAAGTCTTAAACGTTCGTCCATCCTCAGAAGACCATCGTCACCGTTCTTTGGACTAAGTCGCAGTAAACATCCTTTTCGCTCTCCTTTCGGGAAAGCTTTTCCTTGCGCTTGTTTGATCCACCACTTTTCCACATTAAGTATTTCAGTTGAACAAAGCGTTCTGTCTCGTTTTCGTAATTCTCTTGGAAGTCTGCAGTTTGTAGCGAATCGTTGAACCCATCCAGTCACACGACAAAGGCGACGGAAGGTAGAAAAGTGGTTTGGATCAATGCCCAGGTTAACGCGCGCCTGGACCATGTACGTCTGTGCCACTGTCTTTTCTATATCTTCAACTTTCGTCTCCTCTCTAACGGAAGGCGCTGATGGCCCCGAGATCTCGACATCTTTCAAGAACGATGGTCTTTCCAACCAAAATGTGCTTTTGGCTAGTTCCATAGCAGATTGACCTCAGGTAGCTAGATCTGCTGGATTCTGTATCCCAGGTACATGCCTCCACTGCTCGGGACTCGTCGTCCATTGAATTTCTGCGATACGGTTGGCTACAAAGGGTTTAAACTGCCGGCTGTGGTTTCGTATCCAATACCACACATTCTCGGAGTCAGTCCAAAAGATCACTCGATCGACAGTCAGGACTTTCAGAAGACTTGAAAACAGAATGGCACCCATAAGCTCCAGTCTGGGAATCGTCATCGCTTTGGTGGGGGCTACACGGCACTTTGATGCGACAAGGCGTAATGTAGGGCTATCGTCTTCATATTGGCACACCAAATAAGCGACTGATGCGTAGGCGTCTTTAGAGGCATCCGAGAACAGGTGTAGTTCCATTTTATTCGGGTTTGCGAGGCGTAAGCAGCGTTGTATGGCGACATGCGATAACTGCGAAAGTTCTGTAGCCCAGTTCTTCCACTTAGTTGCTAGATCACTTGGAAGGTTGTCATCCCAATCCAACCCTGCTCTCCAAATGTCCTTTTAGCCCGAACAAGGAATGGCGAGAGAAACTGAAGGGGGTCGTATACAGCAGCTATGGCGCTCAGTACATTACGTTTCGTAAGGGTTTTATTGGTATCAGGAGGTTCCACTCTGAAGGTAAATACATCTCTTTCAGGATCCCACAAGACTCCAAGAGTCTTGGTTCTAGACGGCTCTTCTTTGTTAATTTCAACAGCAGATAACCGGTCACTCTCGGGGATGCTTGCGACAACTGATGGCTAGTTCGACGACCATATCCGCAGCCGAAAACCTGCCAGACCAAACAGGTCAGATAACTGACGTCGCAGATCCTGGGCACTCTCTATAGTCTCGCTTGAATCTAAGACATCGTCAACATACATCGAGTTATCGACCGATTCTGCTGCCGCTGGGAATATCTCTGTATGTGCTTGAGCGTGGGCGTGTATTACATACTGTGCGCAGAATGGCGAAGCAGTTTTACCAAACAACAGGCGTCGAAACTCGTATATGTCGGGCTCTCTTGAAGGATCGAAATCTCGCCATACGAATCTGTGGAAGGGACGATCTTTGTCTTGCAGATCAACTTGCAGGAACATTTCAGAAATATCTACGATCAAAGCAACTGGTGCTCGACGAAAGCAGGTGAGAACATCTACAATTTCTCGTTGTAGTTTCGGACCTGGCCGTGTGCTGTCATTTAAGCTCTTTCCGTCATGCTTCATTGCCGCGTCGAAGACAACACGAACTTTAGTCGTATCTTTGCTTGGCTTAATGACCGGAAAATGTGAGAGGAACCACTGCTGTTCTACTTCGGACTTGGGTACTTTCTGAATGTAGCCTTTTTTTCTCACAGTCCTTGAATACTTTACTGTAGGCTTCCAGGATGTTAGAATCTTTCTTTCTGAGGGATTTCTCTTGACTTTGGAGTCGTAACAACGCCGCTTCGTAATTGTTAGTCAACTTCGGCTCTCCGTCCTTCCAAGGGATTCCTACCTCGTACAGACCATTCTTAAACTTTAGGGATCCAGCTACAGTTGCAGTTGCTGCTCTTTCGTCGGCTGTCATCGCCTGTTTCTCAGACGTTTCTTTGATTCCGAGTGCTTCAAGCTCCCAGAACTTGCGTAGAATGTCGTCCGGTGATGGTTGCTGGTCTACATGGCAGGAACGGTACGTGCGTGTGAAGTGGGAACGAGAGTTGCGCCGAAACTCGTTGACCAACGTTGGCCCAAAACAAACCCAGCCCAAGTTCGTTAGGCGTGCTACGGGATCACTTGGTTGGCTGCCGCGAACTTCTTATACGTAGTAAAATACTGGATTATCGCTGCCAAGCATGACATCAATCTGCTGTCGCCTGGAAACATTGTCGAAAGGGATCTTGTGCAGATGAGGCCACTTTTCCTTGAGTTCTGACCACTGTATGGCTGGTGTGTCGCTCGCAATGTTATCTAACACATGTGCTTGAACAGGTGTTGTAAATGACCTATCTAGACTAGTCACATTTAGTTCCACTCGGCGGGATCTTTTCTGAATTTCGATGCCCCCTGTTCCTGCAATCGTAAGGTTTACGTTTTGTCCATGCAACTCAAGCTCTTCTGCTGCTTCCTCTGATACATAGGAACTGGTCGAACATGGGTCAAGTATTAAATTGACATTTAACTCTCTGTTTCCACTACTAACAAGGGCAGGTATTACCATTAGAGAGACGTTCTCTACTTTAGTTGTATTATGTGTTCTTTTTTGGGGCTGGAAATTGGTTAGTGGCAGATTGTCATCACGTGTCTTATCATTA